AGTATTTTGCACCAATACCAGTCTTGTGTCGTGCAGGAAGAACAGCTGGACCTGGTGTCCTTGGGCCTATCGGTGCAGGAGGAAGACTCGCCACTGGTCTTCTTGGAGCAGGTGCATTTGTTCCGAGAGAGGGTGGAGGAGTGTTTACAAACCCCTCTGCCCTCTGTGATAAACCTCTCTGTCACGCCGCGAGCAGCAGAGCACCTTCAGCAGCACTGGCCCGCTGTGACCATCGGGAGGCTGGAGGAGGCTCCTGTTCCTAAACTCTGCTGCTGCTCCAGACGTTGCTGTCCGGAGGCAGGAGACGATCGGCCAAACCGAGACACGTGGGGCGAGCTGCAGCCCACTGCGTCGGCCGTGCTGCTGGGGCTGCTGCTGCTGCTGCTGCTGCTGTGGGCGAACCCGGTCGGAGGGGCGTCGCTCGGCTTCTCCCTGCTGTCCCGGCTCAGTCAGGTCGTCCACGGCCTCAGCAGCGAACTCACCACATCTGTCTGGGACATGGCAGCGTCGGCGTACACGACGGTGGAGGCGGCTGTAGGAGGATGGAGCTCACAGCTCTCTTCAGCGGGGGATACGGTCTTTCAGCAGCTGGCTGTCTTATTTGAAACTCTGACGTCCCGCTAAAAGAAGCCAAAGCAGAGTCCTGAACTTTTATGTAGAAGCTAATTAACTCTCAAAACTGTGAAGATCTGATTTTGCTCTCAGCTTCACAATAGAGACTAAAACCATCATTGAATCTTCTTGTGTTACAGCAGATTCAATGGACCCCAACACATTTCAGCTGCTTCTCCTGGACTGAATGAGCTCTGCTTTGTTTTATTATTACTTCTCAGCATTTTAATCGACTCTTCTTGATCAAAAGATCTTATACAACTTAACTAAAACACATTTAGAGAAATAATACACTCACAATGGCCACATTTTAAATGATTAAACCATCACATATGCATGTGAGGGTTGGATTTTTAGCTTTAGTCTCACTTTAAAGATTCCTAGAAGTCATATGAAGGCCTGGGGAAGGCGTCGGATATGACTTGTTCATTTCCTTGCTTGAGAACTGCACAGATAACTTTTTAAAAACACTAAGTACTTTAAGTTTAGATAGCTGTAAGTCTTTATGTATTGAAATGTGTTATGAACAAGTGCTATGCTCCTCTTTGGAGGTGTGTTATTATGGATTACAATGATACTACCTTCATAAGCATTTATTGCATCAGACACTAATTGCAAAGTTTGGAAAGGCGGTTCATGTGGTGTCTCTTAAGTCACCTTTCCAATCAGCCTCGGTAGCTTTCCCGCTGTGTCAGAGCTCGAGACGTCAGCGCAGCCACACGTGTATCTCCTTACACAAGACTGTTTACAGTGACTGGAGCAGTATGTGAAATTTAGAGCCTGCTGAGTGGAACCAGACACACAGTGGACCCAACTTAAAGCCTTCACAGATCATGTTGCAGAGATGCGGAGGGGTTCTCTTACTGTGCCTTCAGCCATCATGCCTTTACCTCGGCCCACTTAATAGCTTTATGGTTAACTCCACCAGGACCAATATGTCTTCCTTAGGACACTGCCTTTTTTTTTTTTTTTTTCATAAATGGTGCACTGATTTACAGTCTGCTTTAAAAGTTGTTACAGCTTTTGCTTTACCAGCACTATTCTGCATCCCACAAATGTTACTTTATTTTACTCAGTTTAGCAGCACAGCTCTTTACTGAAACATCAGCTGCTTTCCTCAACATTACGTGATGCAACCTGGGATTTGACATGCTGCTGAAAAGAAATCTGAACAAATGGCATTTTGAAACAATGTCACACTCCTAATGAATGTTGTAGCATTTGTTCTTTTTATAAACTTTGGAATTACTGTATTTTAAACATGTAATAAAGTTTTTTGACTTTAGTTGTAGTAATGGTGTGGTGTTTTAGCATGTGCTAGTAGTGCAGTGAACTCAATTAGCTGATGCTCGATACATTTGTCTTTTCAGTGTGAAATGCACCATGTTAAAGCCGTCCAATGACTTCAGTTTGCACACATTAGACAGGCTGTGTGAGACTTTCATAAGTTGCGTGAAATATTTTGCACCATCCCTTAAGTTGATGAATGTCATTTTAGGAAGCTAAAAATTTTCTAAACCCAAAAATGATTAGCATGAGCAAAATTCTTACCAGAAACATTTATTTGTTCAGAAAATAATGAAGAGTAGCAGCATTTCATTCGAAGGACAGGATAAAAAAAAAATATTTACACTGTGTGGTAAAAGGAAAGTCAAACAGTAGAGATAGTCAAAGATTATATTTAGGTTTAAGCAGTGACGGCATCGTGCTCTCTAAAGACGATGGTCTTTGGGTTGATTCCCACACTCTTGGTGGTGTTGTGAGTTTTGTAGATGCCGATGAGACGATCAGCGATCTCGAACATGTTGTTCCTCAGAGAGATGATGATGAACTGGGCGTTCTTTGTTTGCTCCTGCACAGAGATAAGGGCGAGGTCAAAAATGACTATTCTGAAGAGACTTTATTTACAATTCTACACCACTGTAGTATTAAAACAAACTGTAAAAGAGTGAGAAATCATGAACTATGAACCTTTCAACATGCATCTGGTTTCTCTTTGTAAAACACAGCTTCATACTTACGTAAATGTAACAGGCCACAATGGAGACGTTCTTGAAATCAAGAGCAGCATCGATCTCATCCATGAAGTAGAGCGGTGTGGGTTTATAGTGGTGCAGAGCAAACACCAGAGCCAAGGAGCTGAGCGTCTTCTCTCCTCCTGACAGGTTAAAGATCTTTTTCCAGCTCTTTTTTGGAGGACGGACACTAGAAAAACAACAGAAAATAGATGCTCAAATACAAGGACAGGATTCAGTTGCTCAGTGTTTACATTTTTCAATAACAAAAATATTATTTAATGCGGAGTTTGCATGTTCTCCCCGTGCAGCGTGGGTTCTCTCCGGGTTCTCTGGCTTCTTACCACAAGGTCCAAAAACATGTTGAGGTTAACTGGTGAATGTAAATTGTCTGTAGGTGTGAATGTGAGTGTGCTTGTTTGTCTGTCTCTAAGTGTAGCCCTGTGATAAACTGGTGATCTGTCCAGGCTGTCCCCTGCCTTCACCCTAAGTCAGCTGGGATAGACTCCAGCCCCCCACGACCCTAGTGAGGATTAAGTGGTGTATAGATGATGGATTTTCTTTTTCTTTGCTGTACTGACAACGCAGTGAACCATAACCCCAAAAATAAATACATACAAAAACAACTATTTTTAGTGGAATAAACCTTTTGTGTAGTGGTAGTTCCCACAGGAATCGACAGAATGTGCTTGAAGTGATTTGAGTTCCTTTTCCCTCGTCTCTCACCTGAACATGATGCCCTCAGAGAACGGGTCCAAACTGTCCACAAGTTCCAGCTCTGCATCACCACCCTGTGTAAGCATCTGGTAGTTTTCCTTCAGCTTGTTTGTGATCATGTTGAATCCTGTCATGAACTCATTGAGGCGCTGTTTGCGCAGGTCCTCGTAGCCACGTTTGAATTTGTCCCTCTCAGTAGTGATCTCGTCCAGCTGGGCCACACGCTGCAGGTACAGCTCCTCCTAAAACACAAACACAGTCAGTCACTGGAATCGTGTCTTAAACATGGATCCTTTTAATCAATTCTTAACAGGTTTCCTTAAATATTTTCCCACCATTCTTCCTTTTCACTGTTTAGCTAAAAGGTTTAAACTCAAATCACGATTGTAATTCTACCTCTTGCTGTTTGCTGCAACCTAAAGACATACTGATGTTTCAAGTCAACAAAAAGGATGCGACACTATATGGAAAATAAAAAAATATTCTGCACAAACTACAAACAGACTGAATGTGACGCTACAGTTTGTTGTGTGATAATGTACGAAATGTTGTGGTAAAATAATAACTGCATTTCCAGACACATTCTATTGGCCAAATGAAAACATTTGCACAATCAAAGCTGAGCTCAGCTGAAAAGTCTGACGTGAAGGAAACAGACTGAGACAAACGTCACTCTGAACCAGAAAACTCACTTCAATTTGAACATCTGACAGTCTTCAATAGAAGTGAATGAGAAATGCCGTCAATAATCTTTGACTGGAAACATCATGTGACCGTTTCTTGAGCCCAATTAATGACAAAATGTATAAAGCTCTGCTAAGGTTACACAGCAGGATGTCTGATCATATTTGTGCGTACCTTCTTCTTGTACTCAGCAATGGCCCCGAGGTTGGGCTTCATCTGAGCACACTTGGTCTCCAACGTGATCATCTTGTTGATGATGACGTTGGGATTTGAGATTTCCTCAAGTTCAGCTGGAGTAAGAACAGGAAGCTCCTCTGCTGGCTTGTCCTCAATGGTATGAAGGGACAGCTTGGTGGCCTGTAGAATATAAGTAGTAATGGTTGTCAAAGACAAATCAGTCAATGAGAGGCAAAGCTGTTAATACAACCTCTTTCATATTCGAGACAAAATAAAACCAAAAGATCTAGACTAACTTTTTACATTTACCAGAAATACTAACATTTTCATAGAACACTTTACAAATCAAAGTTAGAAAGTGATACAGACATTGCGCAAAACTAAAGTCAAACATGTAGAGCAGTGCGAAAGAGACAAAAACCATATTAGAAATTAGAAAATGATCACCTTTATATTGTTTTGTGTTGGAATTGAGGAAGAGAAGCAAAGTGTTTTTCCGCTAGATCATTTTTGTCACATAGTTTTGTGAGTGTGCCATTACCAGCACAACCTACAGCGACAAATAAAGCCCACAGTGGTCTTTAACTCACTCACACACACACACACGCCCTTCCTCACACACCTCTTTCTGCCAGTGTTTGATCTTGTTGTTGTGCTCTGTGATGGTGGTCTCGATCTGCTCGATGCGGAGCCGGACGCTCAGAGACTCCTCCTGCAGTGCGTGCTCCTGCTGCTGCAGCACCTTTATCTCCTTCAGCACCCCCTGATACTGCTCCTGCACCTCGGGCAGCGCAGCCTGGAGGACAAGAAAAAACACCAGTGCTCCTTTTGGTATTTCCTTCAAATTCCTTTAGAGGCAGGACTATTGTCATGGAAATTTTTCTATCAAATAAGCTATTGACTGTGTTACAGATGATTCCCCACGATTCATTTTTCTCCCTAAAAAGCAAAATGGCAAATTCATTGAAGTTAGTTTTATTTTGGCAAACTGTAGGTCAATGTATAGCACACAGTATGAAATGTAAACATTAGCTTACACGCTCAAGTGTAAGGTGTAGGTTCAAACTGGAAACTCCACCATGATTAAAATAAACTAAAAAAAAGAAGTCTCATTATTTAGCTCAGAAATGTAAGTCCTAAAGAAATCCAAGTTTCTATCAAACCCCTCAAAAACAACAAGCCAGGTCTTTCTATTTAACAAAGTGCAACTCAGACATGGTGGATATTTCACAAGCACAAAGCGGCTAAAGCAACTCCGCTCTCTTGTGCAATTGTGCTCTGACTTGAATAGTAGCTACTAATTCTATGAAAGTATTGCTGAATTCACTGCACAGCTTTTGTCTTTAACTTCTGTGTAAAGTGAGTTTGTCAGACGACATCGCGGTTATAGAATCTGGATTTTAGCAGCAGTTTGGTTAACATGTCGTCCTCATGAGCCACATTTCATTTTGTATTTCAAACTCATTTCATTGTCTGACAACAAAAAAAACAGCAAAATATGTAAATCAGAACAGCAAACAGCTGTAAAGTGCCTCCAGCCCAAGTAGCACCTGTGTGTTTCTGATCAGGTACTCGTGCATTGTGCTGCGGTCTGCCAACAAAACTCTGCAGTGTACAAACCACCTTTTCGTTCTGTGACAATGTGAAGGACTCTGACACTCCTAACGCTTTAGAAATGTCAGAAGCAGCAGTCCAACTAAGTTATATGTAAAAGTTTCCAAACTGTACCACTCAATCAATCAATCAATCAATCTTTATTTATAAAGCGCTTTTCATACTAAATATAATTCAAAGTGCTTTACAGATTAAATGGGAGCTGACCAATCACTGGAGGCAAAAAAACAACAAAACAAATATACCCTGGTAGTTAAAAATAAAGTTGTATAGGCAGTTTAACATCAATGCCATAGATTATGCTAACTAATTACAGCAGCTCTATTCTATTTAGACATCTAAAAAAAAATATCACTTGCTTTGCTCATTTTTTTCGTACACGTGCAAAGCAGGCCAGCAGTGCCTTTGAAACACCTCGGTGAATTGTACATAGAAGTTGCTTTGATTAAAAAAGTTAAGAAACACATTTCAAAAACAGAATATTTGGACAGTGTATTCTTCACTCCTCTGTAGAACTTTCCCTTTTCTTTTTGCATTACAAGGTGCACAGCGTTAGCATTCAACATTTCAAGAAGACCAGGTTTACTGCTGTCAGGAGTGTCCTCTGGGAGCAGCTTTGGGATAAAGTGGTAGAAAATGCTGCCCAGATAAAAAAAGAGCCTTAGACATAAAGGGGATATAAAGTGCCAACCTCAGCCTCTTGACAATTTTTCATGACCTCCCCGGCCTCGTCTTCCAGTTTCTTCAGTTGTTCTGTGAGTTCTGCCATCGATTTCTCATTCTCCTCCAGCTCGCCCTGCACACGGGCCACACTCTCCTCACACTTTTTTAGGTTGCTAAGAGAGGACAGCAAAAGAAACAGACATTAGTCTTGGACGGAGCATTGGCAACTGATGATAAGAATTACTACTGATGTCAGGTTGAGTCTTGCGAAACAGAACTGCTATTGAGTAACTGCTGAAGAGCAACTATCTTGTCTATATGGTTATGCAGACCTCAGATCAGTCAATCAACATTCAGCATTGAGATGTAATGAGAAGCGAACCCATACTGTCATCCTGCCGGCACAGGCGGCTCA